TCCTAGTGGACTATGCAAAAGTACAGGTAAGGTGTCAGAATTAAGTATTTTTGCATGAATAACAAGTCAAGCTATGTGTAGATAAAATGTCTCCCTACGCTGTGATCATAACTTGTTGTTAGGACTTGTTGGCCCCAGCTTTTAATGACCTTCTGACTCACAGTGATGCAGGGGACTGTTCTGTTCTGGTCCTGCTGGACCTGACTGCAGCCTTTGACACTGTTGACCATCACCTGCTACTGGAGAGGCTCAGAGACTGGGTAGGCCTATCAGGATCTGCTCTGGAGTGGTTCTCCTCTTCTCTCTCTGAGCGCTCCTTTTCTGTGGCCGTTTCCAAGTTTAGGTCCTCCACCACCTCCCTTACCCATGGTGTCCCACAAGGTTCTGTGCTGGGGCCTCTGCTCTTCCTCCTCTATCTGCTTCCTCTTCAGCACATCCTGAGCTCCTTCAAAAGAATCTCCTACCATCTTTATGCAGATGACATCCAACTGTACATCTCCTTTAAGCCCCATGAGATGTCTAAGCTGCAGCTGTTACACACCTGCTTAGACTCTATCAAGACCTGGATGGTGGGAGCTTTCTTCAGCTGAATGAAGATAAGACTGAGATCTGCATCTGTGCCCCAGACAAGCTGGTTCCCCAAGTCAGAGACTCTCTTGGTCAGCTTGCTTCCCACACCAAACCCTCTGTCAGGAATCTTGGCGTGACCTTTGACCCAGCTCTCACCCTGGATTCTTATGTCAGTTCTCTTGTTGGCTCTTCCTTCTTCCATCTCAGGAACATTGCTAAGCTGAGTCCCATTCTGTCCCGCTCTGAACTTGAGACAGTTCTCCACACCTTCATCTCCTCACGCTTAGACTACTGTAACTCTCTTTTCACGTGTCTGAGCAGAACCTCCCTGAACCGTCTACAGGTGGTTCAGAACGCCTGTGCTCGGCTTCTGACCAAGTCCTCCAAACACACCCACATCACCCCGCTTCTCCTCCAGCTTCATTCAATTCAATTCAAAAATACTTTATTAATCCCAGAGGGAAATTGATTGGCTGCCAGTCGACTTCAGGGTCCTGGTTCTGGTCTATAGGGCCTTACATGGACAAGCACCATCTTACATTGGTGATCTTCTCCGTCCCTACACCCCCAGCAGGTCCCTGAGGTCCAGTGATCAAAGCCTACTGGTTGTGCAGCACCAGGCTAAAGGTCAAAGGTGACAGATCATTTGCTGCTGTGCCCCCAAACTCTGGACCTCTCTCCCCCTGAGCCTGAGATCAGTGGACTCGGTGGTCTCCTTTAAAAAGCAGCTGAAGGCTCACCTGCTCCTGGTTCCCTCACCCAGCCCACCTTTGGCTTGTACTTTTTATATTTCAGGCTTTAGTTATTCTTAGAGTTCTGTCCAGCCTTTAAGTTTCCCCTCACAGTTTTAGTTCCTTGAATGTTTTTATAGTTTGTCTCCGATTCTGGTTTATAGTGTTTCCTCCCCACTTTGTTCACACCTGCTCCCTGTTTTCCCTGATTACTTCCCTCTTCTGAGGAAGTATAAAACCCTGCCCTTTCAGCGTTATTCCTTCTGTGCTCTCCAGGTTCCTGCTCACAAGTTTGAGCTTTCGTTTTTGCTTCTGGTGTTTTTCTATGTGAGACTCCGATTCAAGCCCTTTGGTCTCCTCCTGAATACAGGATTACTGTTTAGGAACTCCAACGCTGTGTTGTTGGTTTCCTGCACTTTGGGACCAGTCCAAGCTGAAATGATCCCGATCTTCATTGAATGGCATCGCATTGTCTCCATGGCATTGTTGTATCTGTGGTATTTGGTAGATTTCCTGCAGCAGTAGTACTAACATTCATGGACTCACCCATCTTGACTCACGACGGGGAAGCTGTTGTTGGTTTAGTCCAGGAAACTGCACAGAACGTCTCTGCTAGTAGAAGCTAATCGTTAGCATTAGCAACTCCACCACACAGCAGAGCTCCTCCAGGCTTGTGTTATTGGTGGAGATGAAACATCAACGTTGCAGAGCAGACAGTCAGCGGTAGAGCCGTGTTGCTGTTAGCCAATCAGAGGAGAGATGTCCACATATCAGCAAGTAGGACTCCAATCCTGTCGTCTGAAGGCCTCCTCTAATGTGGCTCTCTTCCAGAAATGGGCGCGCTGGAGCTTTTTTTCCCAGAGATCAGAAACAAAAACAAACACAAAACTTAAAATAATTAGCAGAAGTTTTAGAAGAAATTGTATTTTTCTAGTTTTAATAATTAAAAGCTCCTGAAATCAAGTGTTTAAATGATCATCTGTGGACCACTTGTTTAACAGTTATTAATCATCATTTTACAGAAACTGACAGAAGAAAGTTCAGCCATCAAAAGCTGTTTCTCTCTTCTCCAATACTTCTAAATGTAAAGTAACTAAAGGTAACAAGTAACTAAAGCTCTAAAAGTTTAAAATTATAAAAACTGATGTTAATGTTTTCATTTAGAGTTCATTAAAAGCTGTTTAGAAACCTTGGTATGGTGGTGTGGGGGGGCTATGAGGTCATTCGCAGTTTTTTATTTTAGGCTTTTGTAATAAAATAACTCAATAGTACATTTATAAGGGCAGCTGTATAAGTTTACTACTATGTAATGACATGCTTTATTATTGATGTCTGTAGTGTTCTGCGTGTGTGTGTGTGTGTGTGTGTGTGTGGGGGGGGGGGGGGTTGGACAGCGATGATACGTTTAATGGATGTCTCTTCACCTCCAGGGAGCTGGAGCTGGTGCTGCTGGACATGCAGTCGGTTCCTGCGGGCCAGGAGGGCTGGCTGGCCTTCGATGTCACCTCAGCCTCCAACCACTGGCTGCTCCACCCACGCAGCAACCTGGGCATACGCCTCTACGTAGAGACGCAGGATGGTGAGCGCTCTGCTGGACCACGGATTCGTTGTGCGGTCTGGGACATTTTGCTGACCTGAGATCTGTTTGCTCTCAGACCGATCCCTGTCTGCAGCCTGGATCGGCCTGGTGGGTCGCAGGGGCCCCCGGTCCAAGCAACCCTTCATGGTGACCTTCTTCAGGGAGAACCAGGTTCCGTGTCGGCCACCGCGAGCCGTCAAGCCCCACCCCAGGAGGAAGAAACACAAATACGACCTCCCGGTCCCCATCATCAACAGTAAGGGCTCAGAGAGTACATATGTGCTTCAGGAGCCCTGACGCAGGCTGAGCTGTTTACCCCTCCCACTTGGCCTGCACTTGAATATGCTAATGAGCTGCTTGCTGATTGGTTGGTTTAAACTAGAAGGCCTCAGACACTGGAGGCTCTGATTGGAGGAGGAAGGGCTCCTCATTACGATGTTTTAATAAGAGGTTTCTCAGAAAAGACGCTTGTTCTGGCATTTTTGAACTTTCTAATTTACATACGAAGTAGGTCACACACGGCTTTAACCCTTTCACTACCCAAGCTGTCCTTACTCACAAACAAGAAAATGTTGGTTTAAGATTCTCTGTCCCCTTTAATTACATCTTTGATTTGTTAAAAACTTGAAGTTAATAAAACCAGAATGAAGGTGATAAGAGTAAATATTAAAGTACCTTCATGGTGTTCTGATGTGTTTTCCCACCTGTTCAGATCGCAGTGCTGCTACTAAAGGCGAGCCGTGTAAAAAACACGAACTCTACGTCAGCTTCAGTGACCTGGGATGGAAGGTGAGCTTCCGATTTTAATTTTTGTAGAATATTAGTCATGTGGACACAATTAGCTTTTGCATTTTAGTATTTTGTGTTGACAAACATTCACTGCACATGAGTTAATTATATACGTAGTATTTTTCATGTTCGGTGGCCGTCCTCACTAGGAAAACAACCCGTAAGACTTAGTTAGGTTAAGGTGGCGGTAGTGATTATGGTTAGTTACTCTTTTTACTCTGAGACTGGTGTGACCTCCACGTCTTTTTAACACTCTTGTTGATTCTTTAAAAAATTGGAAATTTAGAAATTTGGGTGAAAAATTTGATAGTTTTTACTTGATTTAGAAATTAATTTAAAATGAAGTCATATCTGTTAAATTGAGACGACGGTGTGTTTGTGTAAATCCCTTTAATCAGACATGAAGGAGTTTTTGTTTTTCCTTCATAAATGTTCTGGTCCGGGTGTGTTCAGGACTGGGTTCTGGCTCCTACTGGATACTCGGCGTACTACTGTGATGGAGAGTGTATCTATCCTCTGGGCTCCTGCATGAACGCCACCAACCACGCCTTGATCCAGCTCGTGGTCAGAACGCCACACACACACCACCTCTGCACTCAGCTCACTCTGAAGTGTACATAATTCATCAACTCACAAGCTTTAATTAGGATGACTTTCAAATATCGTAGTTTGATGATTTCAGACTGAAATCTCAGGTCATAATCTTTTGTAACAAAGAGAAATTAGATATCTGAATGTGAACTACGTGTGAAGTATTTATATGATTCTGGAGCAGAACTAGCAACCCACTTAGATTCACTTACTGTCATTATTTCGTGGTTATTAGTCTTGAGCAGCGTGATGTTTTCATAAATTGGATAAATAAACACTTAGGGTCATGCTGCACTGCTGCCATCTTGTTCACAATGAACCTGTCATCGTTTTATGGAGGTAAATGGCGTTCTTCTGGGTCAAATCTGGGTCATTGTGCTAGTCGGCCACAAGTCGATACGAATGAAACGGCTTTTACAGAATCGTAAAACATCAGTTACAACTCGACTCGTGAGTTGGGAGGCCAAATCTAAACACAGCCTGTTAGTCTGTTTTGGGTCTGGCAGGTCCACCTCATGAAGCCAGAGGAAGTCCCTACAGCCTGTTGCGCTCCAACCAAGCTCAGCCCCATTTCGGTCCTGTTCTACGATGACAACAACAACGTCATCCTCAAAAAGCATCGCAACATGGTGGTCAAGACCTGTGGGTGTCTATGAAGTAAACAGAAAGTCTACCAGGATAAACTGGACTTGTGAAGTACACAAAATCACGAGCAAGTGTATCACACATGGTTTAAATGCTGCTTCCGGATCCATCCGGCACTTTGTTACAACTGCTTTTAACACTTTTATGTAATGAATTTTATACCAAGTGCAACTTAATAAATAAAGTTGTCACGTCCCTCCGCTCACTAGGAGTGATGTGGTGGAGGGAGTAAGAGAAATAGTGTGTGGGTTTAATAATAACAAAGTAATGTGTCTCCAACAAAGGATTTTATTAAACAAACACAAAGAGCCGCTATATACAAAAGGGAAAAAGGATAACAAAAAGCTCCAAGCCAAAAGGGCTGGGAGGAGGAGAACTAACTAACTAAGATATTCGTTTACAAACAAAAAACACTAGACCAATGAGAGACGTCCTGTTAAGCAGAGACGCTCGGGGGGGTGGGAGGGGTGGGGGGGGGTGGGGGGGGTCCAAAGCGGAGTCGAAGGCCGATCCCAAAGTCAAAGTTTACCAGAAACCCTATTGAACAAGAGTCAAAGCCACCAAAGTACCACTAAACAAAGCACACGAGGAGAAGAAAGAAGCCTGAACACCTTTGTGCCCACACTTCCCTGTACCTTCTCCCAGACTGAGGGCAGGAGAGCAGCTTTTAACAGCTGTCTAGTGATTATCGGTGATTAAGAACGGCTGGGCACCGGGAGACTGGCGAGGCAGAAGCCACTGAGGCCATCTTGTGGCCGATAAGGGGCAAGGCACGTAACAAAAGTGATGTAGATACATATTTGAAGTGGCTGATTCAACTGAATATTTAGTGAACCTTCATACCTATGTATACAAATATACTATGTTGTCTAACTTTTCATAGTGGCTGTACTTTTCCCTGTGGGAATACAGTGGGATACTTTTTCATGACAGGTGTTTTTATTTATTTATTATTTTTACACATTTTCAGGGCACATACTATATTGTTTTTTATTTATGTAAACATTTTCAGGACATGTACTACAGTATGTTTTTTGAAAATGCATTTCCAGGACACATAACAAAGTTTGATCTTTTTTTTTTACACATTTTCAGGACACATACTATAGTATGTTTATTTATTTAACTTTAATTATTTTTACACATTTTCAGGACACATAGTATAGTTTTTTTATACATTTTCAGGACACATACTGTAGTATGTTTATTTTTACACAGGTCCTTCTAAAACAATTAGCATGTTGTGATAAAGTTCATTATTTTCTGTAATGTACTGATAAACATTAAACTTTCACATATAGGAATTTTGGATTTTCATGAGCTGTTTGCCAAAATCATCAAAATCCTCATTGGTAAATGGTAAATGGCCTTTATTTGAAACATTAGAGACAATAAAAGGCTTGAACTACTTCAGTTGTGTGTGTTGAATCTAATTGGTATGAAAGTCTAATGTTTATCAGTACATTACGAGAAAGAACAGTATAGTATGGTTTTTTACATACATTTTAAGGACACATACTATAGTATATTTTTATACATTTTCAGGTTGCATACTATAATATGTTTATTTTTATACATTATCAGGACACATACTGTACTATGTTGTTTTTTACACACTTTCAGGACACACATAGTTTTTTATACATTTTCAGGACACATACTATAGTAAGATGTTTTTACACATTTTCAGGACACATACTGTAGTATGTTTTTAATACATTTTCAAGACAGTTACTATAGTAAGTTGTTTTTTATAGATTTTCAGGACATAGTATAATTTTCATAGACATTTTCAGGAAAGAGTATGTTTTTTAATACATTTTAAAGACACATACTATAGTATGTTTTTACACATGTTCAGGAGACATACTGCAGTATGTATTTTTATACATTTTCAGGACACTTACTATAGTATGGTTTTTAATACATTTTCAAGAGTCATACTATAGTATGTTGTTTTTTTAGACATTTTCAGGACATACTATAGCATAGTTTCTTTATATATTTTCAGGAAACATACTATAGTATGTCGTTTTTCAGGACACATACTAAAACTAGGCTTTTTATTTCAGGACATATACTATAGTATTTTAATTTTTATACTTCTTAAGGACACATACTACAGTATGTTTTTTAATACATTTTCAAGACACATACTATAGTGTGTTTTTTTACACATTTTCAGGACACATACCAAAGTATGTTGTTTTTAATACTTTTTCAGGGCAAATACTACAGTATGTTTTTTCTCTACATTTTCAAGATACATACTATAGTATGTTGTTTTTTTTTACAATTTTTCAGGAAACACTATAGCTTGGCTTTTTATACATTTTCACGACACAAACTATAGTATGTTGTTTTTTATACTTTTTTAGGACACATAGTATAGTATGTTTTTAAATCCATTTTAAGACACATAATAAAGTATGTTGTTTTTTATACTTTTTCAGGACACGTACTATTGTATGTTTTTTAAATACATTTTAAGACATATACTATTGTATGTTTTTTTTACACATTTTCAGGGCATATACTATAGAATGTTGCTTTTTATACTTTTTTAGGACACATACTGTAGTATGTTTATTTTTATACATTATTAGGACACATACTGTAGTATGTTTTGTCCACATTTTCAGGACACATAACCTAGTATGATTTTTACACATTTTCTGGACACATACTATAGCATGTTTTTTTTACATACATTTTCAGAAGACATACTATGGTATGTTGTTTTTATACATTTTCAGGACACATAGTATAGTATGTTGTTTTTGTACACATTTTTCGGACACTTAGACTAGCATAGTTTTTTACACATTTTCAGGACACATACTATAGCTTGGCTTTACATGCATTTTTAAGTCACATACTTTAATATGTTGTGTTTTATACTTTTTCAGGACACATACTACAGTATGTTTATTTTTATACATTAACAGGAAACTTACTGTAGTATGTTGTTGTTGTTTTTATAAAAAATTTCAGGACACATACTACAGTTTGGTGTTTTTTTACACATTTTCAGGACCCATACTATAGCTTGGCTTTTTATGCATTTTTAAGTCACATACTTTAGTATGTTGTGTTTTAAACTTTTTCAGGACACATACTACAGTATGTTTATTTTTATACATTAACAGGACACTTACTGTAGTATGTTGTTGTTGTTTTTAAACAATTTTTCAGGACACATACTATAGTATGTTGTTTTTTTATACATTTTCAGGACACGTACAGCAGTATGTTTTTTAAATACATTTTCAAGACACATACTATAGTATGTTTATTTTTATACTTTTTCAGGACACATACTATAGTATTTTTATACATTTTTAGGACACATACTAAAGTATGTTGTTTTTTATACTCTTTCAGGGCAAATACTACAGTATGTTTTTTCTCTACATTTTCAAGATACATACTATAGTATGTTGTTTTTTAAAACATTTTCAGGCAACATAGCATAGCTTGACTTTTTATATATTTTCTTGACATACTATAGTATGTTGTTTTTTTATACTTTTTCAGGACACATCCTATAGTATGTTTTTAAAATACATTTTAGTATTGTATGTTGTGTTTTATACTTTTTCAGGACACATACTACAGTATGTTTATTTTTATACATTAACAGGACACTTACTGTAGTATGTTGTTTTTTTTATACAAATTTTCAGGACACATACTATAGTATGTTGTTTATTATATATTTTCAGGACACATACAGCAGTATGTTTTTTAAATACATTTTCAAGACACATACTATAGTATTTAGTTTTTTATACTTTTTCAGGACACATACTAAAGTATTTTTTTACATTTTCAGGACACATACTAAAGTATGTTTTTTTACACATCTTCAGGACACATACTAAAGTATGTTGTTTTTTTATACTTTTTCAGGCCAAATACTACAGTATGTTTTTTCTCTACATTTTCAAGATACATACTATAGTATGTTGTTTTTTTTATACATTTTCAGGAAACATACTATAGCTTGGCTTTTTATATATTTTCATGACACATACTATAGTATATTGTTTTTTATACTTTTTCAGGCCAAATACTACAGTATGTTTTTTCTCTACATTTTCAAGATACATACTATAGTATGTTGTTTTTTAATACATTTTCAGGAAACATACTATAGCTTGGATTTTTATACATTTTCATGACACATACTATAGTATGTTGTTTTTTATACATTTTCAGGACACATATAGCAGTATGTTTTTAAAATAAATTTTCAAGACACATACTATAGTATTTAGTTTTTTATACTTTTTCAGGACACATACAATATTATAGTATTTATAGAATTTGTATGTTGTTTTTTTTATACACTTTCAGGGCAAATACTACAGTATGTTTTTTCTCTACATTTTCAAGATACATATGTTTGTTTTTTTAACACATTTGCAGGAAACATACTATAGCTTGGCTTTTTATACATTTTCATGACACATTCTATAGTATATTTTTTTTTTACTTTTTCAGGACACTTCCTATAGTATGTTTTTAAAATACATTTTAAGACACATACTATTGTATGTTTTTACACATTTTCATGACACACACTAAATTTTGTTGTTTTTTATACTTTTCAGGACACATAGTATAGTATGTTTTTAAATACATTTTCAAGATACATACTATAGTATGTTGTTTTTTTTTATACATTTTCAGGAAACATAATATAGCTTGGCTTTTTATACATTTTCATGACACATACTACAGTATGTTTTTTAATACATTTTCAGGACACATACTAAAGTATGTTTTTTACACATTTTCGGGACACATACTAAAGTATGTTGTTTTTTATACTTTTTCAGGGCAAATACTACAGTATGTTTTTTCTCTACATTTTCAAGATACATACTATAGTATGTTGGTTTTTATATACATTTTCAGGAAACATACTATAGCTTGGCTTTTTATACATTTTCATGACACATACTATAGTATATTGTTTTTTATACTTTTTCAGGACACATACTACTGTATGTTTATTTTTATACATTAACAGGACACTTACTGTAGTATGTTGTTGTTTTTATACAAATTTTATGGACACATACTATAGTATGTTTTTTTTAATACATTTTCAGGACACATACAGCAGTATGTTTTTAAAAAACATTTTCAAGACACATACTATAGTATTTAGTTTTTTATACTTTTTCAGGACACGCTATAGTATTTTTATACATTTTCAGGACACATACTAAAGTATGTTTTTTTTACACATTTTCAGGACACTTACTAAAGTATGTTGTTTTTTATACTTTTTCAGGGCAAATACTATAGAATGTTTTTTCTCTAATTTTCAAGATACATACTATAGTATGTTTTTTTTTACACATTTTAAGGAAACATATTATAGCTTGGCTTTTTATACATTTTCATGACA